CAGGAAGGGGGGGGTGAGGTATGAGAGTTGGTTCTGGAAGCTGTGAAGCGTTCTCGCTCCTGTTCCTGGACAAGCAGAGTGAGATAAAGTCACTAAGGCCACAGGCAGCAGCATGGCTTGACCTCTGGCCCCTTGGTTCTAGAGTCCAGATGGTGCTCACCTCACCTGGGAGCCGCCGTCCGTGACCTCCGGCAAGATCATCGAGTACTCGGTGTACTTGGCCATCCAGAGCTCGCAGGCAGGTGGCGAGCCCAAGAGTTCCACCCCGGCCCAGCTGGCCTTCATGCGGGTGTACTGTGGGCCCAGCCCCTCCTGCCTGGTGCAATCCTCCAGCCTCTCCAATGCTCACATCGACTACACCACCAAGCCCGCCATCATTTTCCGCATCGCCGCCCGCAACGAGAAGGGCTATGGCCCAGCTACTCAAGTGAGGTGGTTGCAAGGTGGGTGTCATTCGTCTGGCTCCTTTGGGCGTCACGACATAGGGTGGGGTGCCCGGACTTGGAGCTTTACTGTTGCAGGAGTTAAGGGAGATAGCCTGAGGTGGGTGCTCCATAGTGGAGGGGCCTGGCGGGGGGGCACCTTGCCTCATCTGTGGGTTCGGGGAAAGTTTTCCAGGGATGTTTGAGGCGAGATGAGGGATTGCAAGAACTTGAAGGGAAGGAGGTACGGGGTAAGGCCCAAGTCCAGGGGGCAGGGTGTGGAACAGACGTCGTGGCATGCCCCGTCGGGCTTTGTGCCAGTTCCCATGACGCTGACTGGGGAGAACAGTGAAGGCCTCTGACCTGGGCCCAGGACGACTGCAGGAGGTGGCACATGCAGGTGGCACACGTCTGTCTCCACGTGCCTGCTGGTGACGGCGGGGCCAAGAGGCTTCTCTAGGGTGCAGGCAGGGTGGCCACATCATGTCTGCTCTCGTCCTCTTGGCGGTGGACTGCTGTGTGGCCGAAGTCGTCCTGCCCGCCCACCTTGCTGACCTGCCCATGGCTCCACTTTCCTTGCAGAAACCAGTAAAGACAGCTCTGGCGCCAAGCCAGCCAGCAAGCGGCCCATGTCCTCTCCAGAAATGTAAGCAGGAAACCCCTTTTGGGAGCCTTCTGAGGCTGGGGGTAGACAGCTCCTGGGAGGAAGCAGCATCGGAGGGGGCTGCTAACGGGGGGTGAGGTACCAGCCCGGGGGAGGCCCACGGCGAGGCCTACCTGTGCTTTCCCTGCGTTGTCAAGATCCACGCTGATCCTTCCTTTTTCTTCTCCCAAGGAAATCCGCTCCAAAGAAATCTAAGGCAGATGGTCAGTGAGAGGCAGCTCCCCTGCACCTGGATTCTTCGCCAGACCCCCCCTTCTGCTTCAAGAACGCCACCTGCCAGGGCCCACCCATCCTACCCACCCGGCGCTCACACTTCACCCTCAGGAGCCACTGGCCGCCACTCATTCTCTCTCTCTCTCTGTTTTTAAAATACTCTCAAGAAAGCACATCTTACCATTGCTGTGGGAGGAAGCAGAACGCCGATCTGGAAGAGCAGTGAGCAAGTGAGACCACCTCCTCTCTTCTCCCTACCAGTGCCGTCCACTGGGAGCCGAGCGAGCCCGGAACTCCGAGGCCCTTGAGGGAGCTAGACAGACACTTCAGATGAAGCAGACACGATGCAGAGAACGGGAAGCACGTGCCTCCAGCACCCACACGCCTCTTTCAGTTTGTCACCTTGGTTCTGAGGGGGCAGCCAAGGGTGGGAGGGGCTGCAGCATGGAAGCAGAAGAGAGGCGCCCCTGGCCCCCCTCCCCTGCCTCTGCTCCGAGAACGTTGGCGGGGCGCCCGCGCACTAGATGTCCATCTGGTTCCGTTTTACTTTGTTACCTTTACATATCCCACCACCTCTTGGCCCCGGGCTTCAGCTTTGTGCAACCCCGCCTAGGCGGCCTTCGTACTCCGACCCGATTCCCCTTCCTTCTTTCCCAGTTAGAGAGCTAGAAAATGAGAAGAAAAAGAAAGGGGGAAGAATGAGCCCACGGTGGCCTGAGCAGCGTTCCGTGCAAATCTCCTGACTCCCAGCGGGGCGCAGAGCAGCCCCCGCCGAGCCTGGCTTTGGCCCCTGGGTCGGGGCCAGGGGCCACACCACCAACTGCTGCATTTGTTGTATTTTTTTTAAGTTGGAATTGATGAAGTTAACATTTTTATTGTAATTTTAGCCTTAGCGTGTGGGGTTTTGTCCCTTTTTTTTGTTGTTGTTGTTAGTTGTGTACAGAATGTGTATCTTTTTTTTTTTCCTTCCCCCTCGCTCCCCCCCCCCTTAACTTTTACTTTTTTCTCCTTGGCTAAGCCTTGGCAGGGACCTTTCTGGAAGAAAAACTGGGGGCAGCCGGGACAGGAGAGGCGTGGGATCTTCCCTGCGGGCCTGGCATTTGCTGCCTGGCCCAGTCTCCTCTTGATGGCCCCTGCCATCCGCCCCTTCACTTGTCCCTGGGCTTCTGGGACAAAGGAGGGGTGAGCTGTCAAACCTCACTCCCCATGGGTGATTGCTCTTTACCTATAAGATTGAACTTGAGTCTGCTGGAGCCTAAAGTCAGGTTTCTAAGGAGCTGGTCCTGGGTCCACGTGCTCTCAACACCCCCGCCCCCAGGTTCCCTCCTTGGCCAATTGGCTTATAGTATCAGCCACCCTCAACTGCTGCTTCCTGCAGCCACCCCCTTTAGGCAGCCTTGTGTCAAAAGGGGTGGGGCGAGGGGATGGAGGGAAACTGGGTTTCGGAGAGCAGATGTGTGGTGTCATTCCTGATGGACCCTGGGAAAGACACGGACCCTGGAGAAGAAGCGGGCTAGTAGCACCAGTCACCAGTTCTGTGAATTTGCAGGGCTGTGCCCATGTTCCCAGGACCAAACCTGGGAGGCTCGGGCTCTGCTTAGCGTGGCTCGTGAGTCAGCTTTTTGCCCCACGCCCAAGCTTTAGGAGCTGAGCAAGGCTTGCCAGCAGGTTGTGCAAAAGGAATTCAAGCGAGCAGCCAATCTTTCCAGATCCCCCATCTCTGCCCTGGAGATGCAGCTGCAGTGAGGGGCCCGGCCTCCGCAGACCCCTGCCACTGGCCCACAGCTCCTGGGGCCTCTGGTCTGTTGTACTATAGTATACTTCGCTGTGGAAAATGTCACGTTTAGTCAGTCACCTTGGAGCCCACTCGCCTGGTCCCGTTGTTTCCCTGCCCTTCTCCTGAGCGCCCTTTGATTTCTCTCGTTTCTGAGAACAGTACATCCGTTCATCTATTGTAGAGTAACCCCCGTGACTCAATATTACCATAGTGCGATGTCGTTTTGTGCTATTTTGAACAATTAAAAGACTTTTTTTGAAATAACTACCTACTCTTTGACTGTGTCTAGGGCTCCCAGGGAGGAGGCTAGAGGTGTGACACAGCCATCCACCCCCGTGGCTCACCGACACCCCCCCCCAGGAGCTTCTTGCTCCGAAGGGCAGTGAGCAGGGTTCCCGATTGCCTCCCAAGCTTCAAGGCTCCAGTGAGGCCAAGGGACTCTGGCCAGCTGCTGCCCATTCCTTGCCTAGAGACTGGATCACCTTCCCTCCTGCACCCAGAGGATGGAGGACTGGGATAAAGGACTGGCAGGTCACTAGCCACCAGCCACCCTGGACAAGTGGGGAGGGCTGACCTGGGCTCTTTCCACTGAGAGCTCAGGTCCCCCGGAGCGTCTGTTCCCCAGGATAGACCTGGGTTGCCTTCGGGGTGGGTTTTGGGTCTGAGGCTTATTATTAGCAGGCTCTGTAGGACCGAATACCATGCACACATGAGTCAGGCCCCCAAAAGAGAAGGAGCAGAACTTTCAACTGTTGGCGGCGGCATCATTGATGTGGGTGGTACAGCCAGGGTGAAACGGATGGGGTAGTGCCTAGCGCCACCTGGTCGGGAGGAGCAGTGCTCCAGCCTGGTACTCATGCTAGGGACCCAAGGGCCTTGTTACCCTCTCATCCAGTCGCTCCATCTCCGCTCTTTGGGTGCGTGTACCCATGCAGTGCCAGCTCACGGCCACCTCTCGGAAAGCCTCTGAGGGCAAGCTTCTCTCTCCCTGGTGCTCACTCCAGTGGGCTCACAGTGTCCCGTGCCCTGTTGATCTCGATACCAGGAGCCGTGGGCTCTGTCATCCCCACGGCACCAGTTCTCATCTGATTCGGAGCCCAGGTCTGGTGGGGAGGGGGTGCGGACATGAGCCCAGGGGGAGGGGAGAGCACCGGTGGCGGGGTGACACACGCCGGCCAGCTGGTGCAAGGGGCCTGTGGGGGGCTTAGCGTGGGAGGGGAGGGGCCTGTGCAGATCTGCCAGCTGTTGGAGGGCTGCGGGGATTCCTGCCTCCCCCCTACACCATCCCTCCGCTCACCTGCCCCCTGCCCCGCGGTGGCCCACAGGGCACTTGGGGCCAGGCCAGTGTAGCAGCTTTGGGGCCGGGTCACGTCTGACCACAGCACTCTGCGGTCTCCCGGGGAGAGGCCTGTCCGTGGGGAGAGCAGCGGTACCGGTTCTCTGCCTCAGGACTGGCCAAGGCCCCATCCACTGGACCCAAGGCCAGGGTGCTCACCCACAGGAACCTTAGAACCTTCCACATACCAAGGCTTGTCCCTGGCTAGGCATGAGGGGGACAGAGTCCAAGGAAAGCAGGGAGAGGCCGGACGGGAAGGGGTTTACGGTAAATAAGGACACGCATCTGTGAGCAGGGCGGGTGGGCCCACAGTCCCCTGCCCACTGCCCCCTCAACTCAGTTCGACGGTGGGGAGAGGTGGCTTGGAGGAGCGGGTGTCGGGGAGCCAGTCCCGCCGTCCCACCCCAGACCGTCCCTGGCTCAGCCAGCATTTCCCATCAGCAGGATCTCCAGCCTGCTGCGCTCCGCCCAGCACCGAGGGGCGGGGCCGGCGAGCGGGGGGCGGGGCCTGCGACCGCCGAGCCCCGCCCCCAGGCTCTACGGAACCTCCCGGAGGAGGGGGCGGGCGGGGCGCGGCTGGGTCAGCTGAGTGACAGTCACGGGACCCAGACCAGCTCGGTCTGGCTTCCTGGAGGAGAAGGAAGGATGAGCGGGGGTCTCCGAGTGTGGCAGGCCAGTGGGGGGGCCCGTAGTGGGGAGGGTGTTGTCCTGGAGGACTCCCAGGACGGTGGGGTCAGTCCCGGGGCCGGTCCCGGGACGGAGGACAGCCCCGTGCAAGGGTGTGGGGAACCCTGAGGTCTGGGCTCCGAGGCCTGGGGGCCGAGGGGAGACGGCTCAGGCAGCCTTGGGGTGACCTGGGGCACAGAGGAGCCTGTTCTGGAGGTTGGGACCTGGGAAGATGGGGAGGGCTGTGGAGAAGCTGCGCCTCCAAGTCCCGAGTCCCCCCCAGGACATGGACAAGGAGCGGGAGGCTCTGCAGGCCTGGAAGGAGCGCGTGGAGCAGGAGCTGGACCGAGTGGTGGCTTTCTGGATGGAGCACTCTCACGACCAGGAGCACGGGTGCGCCTCGCCCTTCCGCTGCCCTCAGCAGGGGTCCTTGCCCCTCCTGAGCCTGCACCTCACTCTCAGCTGACTCAGATCTGCTGAGCCCAGCAGAGCAGTGGACCGAGGGCTGGATGCAAGGCCCCTTCCCGCCTTTCAATACTGTGCATCCCACAGGGGTTTCTTCACGTGCCTGGGTCGAGACGGGCAGGTGTATGATGACCTCAAGTACGTCTGGCTGCAGGGGAGGCAGGTAGGGGTGTGCCCAGGCCAGAAGCTCTCCCAGAGGCAGAAGCCAGAGGCCGCCTGGCCTGTCCTCAGTGTGCACACACAAGGCCGGTCATGTCCACACTCTCCCCCCCCATGACGGGGGCCCCTTGGGACTCCCTCTCATCCCAGCCCTGAGAACCCCTGCAGCTCCCACTTTAGCCATATTCCCTCCACTCCCGCACAGGTGTGGATGTACTGTCGCCTGTACCGAAAATTTGAGCGTTTCCGCAGCCCCGAAGTTCTGGATTCAGCTAAAGCAGGTGCCCCCCCTCCCCCGTGCCCATCTCCGCAGAGGCGCCTCCCAGTTTACTCTAGTTCCTAGGGAGGTCCGGAAGCTGTCCAGGGCCTGGGGGCACTCGCAAGCGGGAACGAAGGTAGGGGAAGGTTGGGTGTCCTCACCTGGGTTCTAGCGAGCCCACTTCCAACCACCAGGTGGCGAGTTTTTGCTGCGTTTTGCCCGAGTGGCACCTCCTGGCAAGAAGTGCGCCTTTGTGCTGACGCGGGACGGCCTGCCCATCAAGGTGCAGCGAACCATCTTCAGCGAGTGTTTCTACACCATGGCCATGAACGAGCTGTGGAGGGTGACTGGGGAGGCACGTTACCAGGTGTGCGGGAGGAGGGCGGCCCTGTGGGTCTCCGTGCCCTCACTCGAGCTGGAAGGGGCCACCTGGTGCGTCCCTGTTCTGCGCAAGCCTCCCTGGGCTCTGGCCGCAGGCTGGGTCGCTGCCCGTCCTGCCTCTGGGCCCCTGTGGCCCCAGGGCTGCTGGCAACGCCCCCACCCCAGCCCCGCTGTGCTGTGTTGTCATGGGTGCCCCCTCCCTGCCGTCTCTACCTCTGAATCCACGGTAGAGGGTAGAGCACAGGAGCACAGAGGGACCAGTCCTTGCAGGGCCCTGGCTGGAAGGGAGCGCTCCCTCCGCCCTGAAGCCCCCCCTGCTTTCCAGCCTCGCTGCCTGGGAGTGGCCTGCAGCCACACACTGGGAGCCCGAGGCAGGGTGGAGCAGAACCCCTCGGGGGCGGGGGGCCAGCACCCAACCCAGGGCCGGGCCCGGAGTAGGCCCTTGGTGGAGGTGTCGCCCTGTGCGTGGGTGGGAGGACGAGGCTCTCCCAGCCCAGGTCAGGACCCGAGGGACCACACTGCATGGGACGCAGCCTCGGCCTGGGCCTCCCCTCGCCTCCTTTCTCCCCACCCAGAACGAAGCGGTGGGGATGATGGATCAGATCGTGTACTGGGTGCGGGAGGACCCCTCGGGGCTGGGCCGGCCCTGTCTCCCGGGGGCCCCCGCCTCTGAGTCCATGGCGGTGCCCATGATGCTGCTCAACCTGGTGGACCAGCTCGGGGAGGCGGACGAGGAGCTGGCGGGCACCTACGCGGAGCTGGGGGACTGGTGTGCCCAGAGGATCCTGCAGCATGTCCAGGTAGGGGGCACGCCGGGTGGGGGGTGTGTGAATAGGAGGCTGACACTCGCCTGTCAAACGGGGCCTGGGAGCTGGGGAGTGGAGTGACCCCAGTCCTCACTCTCTGGGGCACCTCCTGTGCCCACACCCACACCCCCAGCTGGGTCCTGACGGCCCCCTTTACAGATGGGGAGACACGGCGGGAGGGGAGAGCTCGGTCTAGGCCCTGGGAAAGGTGGGGACCCCGGGAGCCCGGTAAAGGGCCTCTGGCACCTTAGAGAGCAGGAAACCCGGCCAGATCCAAGGCCTTCTGGGCCTCTGTGGGCAGCCCAGCTCACCGAATCTGTCTTCATTCATTTTTTAAAAGATTTTATTTATTTGAGAGAGAGAGTGAGAGAGGGAATGAGTAGGGGGAGCAGGGCAGAGAGAGAAGCAGTCTCCCCGCTGAGCCACCCCTGGACCCTGGGACCATGACCCTAACCAAAGACAGACACCCAACCAACTGAGCCCCCCAGGCGCCCCTGCAGCCCCCATTGGGTGTGTCGCTCTTCTCACCTCGGTGGCCCAGGCAAGGGTCAGAACTCAACCAGGTCCTCGGACCCCTTCTCAAGTAACCCCTCTGAGCCAGGCCTGCCAAGACTGCGGATCCCGGGGCGAGGGGGGGGCTGGGGGATGGGGGGACGGAGGGACAGAGGGACGGAGAGCCTGCCTTCCTGGTTGGATGGGCAGGAGCTGAAGGCAGATTTACCTTCTGTTCCTCTCTTGGCAGAGGGATGGACAGGCTGTGCTGGAGAACGTGTCAGAGGATGGCGGGGAACTTTCTGGTTGCCTGGGGAGGCACCAGAACCCAGGTGAGGAGTAAAGTGGGCTGGGGCTGGCCCAGGAGGAAGGGAATGCTAGGTCTGGGTTCTGTGCTTTAGCTGTGGGGAGTGCCTGGGGTCTGCCCTCCTCCCTGCACCCTCCACCTGCTGCTGAGGACCAGGCAGGGAAGCTGGGACAGGCCTCCTAGGCTGGGGTGTCCTCAGCAGGGACAGACCCGGAGGGCAAACTTCCTGCGGGGCGGTGGCTCCGAGCAGCTCCCAGTCGTGGAGGAGGAAGGCAGGCACTGTGCTCTGCAAGGGAGGTTGAGCCCCCGCCCGGGAGCATCTGCTGCCTGCCTTATCTGGAGCACTCACCAGGCCATGCGCTGGAAGCCGGCTGGTTCCTGCTCCGTCACGCCATCAGGAAGGGTGACCCCGAACTTCGAGCCCGTGTTATCGACAAGTTCCTGTTGTTGCCTTTCCGCTCTGGATGGGACCCTGACCACGGAGGCCTCTTCTACTTCCAGGACGCCGATGGCCTCTGCCCAACCCAGGTGGGGATGTGCCCAGGGCCACACGGTACTGGCCTGTTCAAGGCTTTCTTCCCTGGGAGGTGGGTGCCGTCATCACCCGGGTCATAGAGGGGGCCTGGGTCTCAGAGCGAGGAACTTGCCCAGTGAGACCCTGGGGGTAAACTCGTGACTTCGACACCAGCGGCCCTCGACCTCCTGTGCATAGGGAGGCTGTTAGGGAAGGCAGACAATGCCAGTTCTGAGACATGTGTCTCCTTCATCTGTGAAAGGCTCTCGGGTGGGTGACTGTAAGGTGTCAGTGGCGGGGGCAGATCGCTCCCTTATGTCTGTTGCCTCTGATCGCGTTTTGATCCTGCTGAGATCTGTGGGGGTGACTGACCGTGCCACCGGCAGGAGCTGGTGTCCAACGGGCTTTAAACAGACAAGACATGGTTTCGAGTCTAGGGTTAAAGGGGAGGTCACCCCGCCCTGGCCCTTTGGAAGGGGCATCTGGCCAAGAAGCTAGTCCCATTCAGACAGGCCATTCAGACCCTCAGGGACATCCATTCCATGACGAAGCTCCAAGTGCTTGGGCCGCGCGGAGTTTGAGCCATGATCTGGAGGATGGGCTGAGAGTGGTGGTGGGCGGCGGGGGGGTGGTTCTCAGACACCTGCCCCTGCTCTGCTCTCAGCTGGAGTGGGCCATGAAGCTCTGGTGGCCACACAGTGAAGCCATGATTGCCTTCCTCATGGGCTACAGTGACAGCGGGGACCCCACCTTGCTGCACCTCTTCTACCAGGTGGCTGAGTACACCTTCCGCCAGGTAGGTGCTGCTTCCTGGTCCAGAGCCCTCTGTGGGCTCAGGGTGGGTGTGGATGAAACGGCAGGCAGCCACTCCTGTCCAGGTGGGCCGCGGCCAGGCTTCCTTGGGCTGTGGGAGGAGGCTAGGCCCCGAGGGGGACGCTCATCCCACACCCCCTTCTTCTCTCCCTCACTGGACACGGTCCCTCAGCTGGCCTGAGTTCCTGGAGGTCCGGCCTCTGCTCCTCTGGAGCTGATGTTTTGGTTGCGGGGTGTGTGTGTGGGGGGTGGGGGCAGACTATAAACAAGTAAACAAACATATAGACGGTAATGACCGCTTTGGAAAACAGATCAAGGTCAGGGGATTGGGGGATGAGCGGGAGGCAGCAAAGGCAGAGGGGGTTGCCCTGCACAGAGGAGTTACCTTGTGGGATTTAGGCATTACTGGGTCCTGGGGCTTTGGGAGGGGAGTCTGTAGAACACGGGCAAAGGTAGGGAGACAGGAGGCCAGTGAGGATGGGGGGGCCTGGCCTGGGGTGTGAGCTGCAGTGGGCAGAGGGGTCAGAGTCTGCACTGGCCACGGTCACTTGGGTGTTTTTTTTTAAGATTTTATTTATTTATCCATGAGACATACACACAGAGAGAGTGGCAGAGACACAGGCAGAGGGAGAAGCAGGCCCCATGCAGGGAGCCCGACGTGGGACTCGATACCGGGACTTCGGGATCATGCCCTGGGCCAAAGGCAGGCGCTAAACAGCTGAGCCTTCCCTCACTTGGGTGTTAGAAGGAGGTAGAGGATACTGTGAGCCGGGAGGCAAAGTAAGCTTTTGGGTACAGAAGGGGAAGAGAAGAGAGAATAGGAGACAAGAATCAGCTGTGAGGTAGGAAGGAAGCCAGGGGTCCCCCAGAAGCAAAGCCCTGTGAGCGGAGTGATGTACCAGCTGGTGCTCAGGGCTCACCTTGGGTGCAGCGCCTGCCGATGAAGACTCTTCATGTGTTTCTAAAGCCGTGATCCCCTGGCTGGTCAATCCCAGTACAGCAGGGATGGTGTTATTCTGGGGTGTGTGGGCTTCAAAACCTGGGAGAAAATTATACCTCCATTTGCACCAAATTGGAACCCAGCGTTCGCTTCCACAGTGGTGCCAGCAGTGCCAGAGTTTGCCATCAGTAGAGGTCCCCAGTGTGTTCACATTACAAGCATTGCACAGACACACATCACCACTTCCAAACACGGGAATCCGGAGACCTGAGGCTGTTCGTGTCGAATGCATTGCTAGAGAGCATGGGTTAAAGAGCACCAGTTTCAACTGCATGAAGGGGGATTTAAGGAATACTTTTTCTTTTTTTTTAAGGCGAGGGAGGGCCAGAGCGAGAATCTCCAGCCCAGGCCTCCGTGGGGGAGCAACTTGCTTCAAAGTTGCATGGAGGTCCCCGCCTCCACCAGGGTTCTCTGTTTCTTTGTTTTTTTAAATCATTTTTTATTTAAATACAATTTATCCACATGAACTGTGTCCACGCGCTCAGCTCAGCGAGATGGGACGATGTATGCATTTGTAACCAGCAGCTCTGGAACGTTTTGGTCATCCCCAAACAGGGTGCTTCCCAGTCCCACTTGTGGGGTGTCGAGTCCGAGCCCGTGCCCCTCTCCCCCGAGGGTTATGTAGCTGCACACTCCCATCCCCGAGCAGAAAGGGGAAAAGCCCCACGCCCTCCTCTTGGCCCTGGACGCGGTCTCGCCTTGAAAAGCGCTGATTCTGGAGCCACCTTCGCCGAGCCGTGACCGCGGGGTAGCGGTGCGGTGGGGACGGTGAACGCCCCTTTCCCTGGCCTTGTGGCCCCAGGGAGACTCCTGCAGACCCTGGCTGTCACTGTCTTGTGATTGCAGTTTCGCGATCCTGAGCACGGGGAGTGGTTTGGCTACTTGACCCGGGAGGGGAAGGTCGCGCTCACCATCAAAGGGGGTCCCTTCAAAGGTGAGTGGGGGACGGCAAGGGCGGCGCCGCAGGGGCTCGGGGCCCTCGGCTGCCCCTCGGCCTGCGACCCGTTGTCCTGCCTCTCCCCGCAGGCTGCTTCCACGTGCCGAGGTGCCTGGCCATGTGCGAGGAGATGCTGGGCGCTCTGCTGGGCCGTCTCGCCCCGGCCCCGAGCCCCGGCCCCGACTGCCCCGCCGCCGTCCCCGCCCGCCAAGCCGCGAAATAAAGCTGAGCCTGCTCCACCGGCCGTGTGCGCGCGTCTGTGGGGTCGCGGGGAGGGGCGGCCGCCCACCTGGCGGCAGGTACCTGCGGTCCCCGCCCGGCCCCGCCCCCGGGCGCCCGCCCCGCGCCGCGGCCCTCGGCTCGGCCCGCTCCGTCCCGCCCCGCGGAGGGGCCCCGCCCCGGCCGGCCGCGGGGGCGGGCTCGGAGGCGCGCACTTCCGGCCGGTGGCGGGGCCCGGCGCGCACCGCCCCTTCCGCCGCCACCCCCGCGAGCCCCGAGACCCAGCTCCAGCCCCGGCCCCAGCCCGGCCCGGCCGCCCCGGCGTCGCCTTGGAGCGCGGTGGCAGCGCTGACTGCGTCTACGACCCGCTGGGAGCCGCGAGCCCCGCCGCCGTTATGAACATCCGCAATGCGAGGGTGAGGGGCGGGGGCGGGAGGCTGTCCGCGCCGCGTGGGTGCGGGGCCCGGGGCCGCGTGCGCATGCTCCCGAGGGGCCCGGCCGGCCCGGGCGGCTCGCCCCCGCACGCCTGCGGCCTCGGGGCACGGACAGGTGAGGGCCCCCGTCCCCACGGCGTGGACGTGCCGCAACGGGGATGTCGGGGCGCCCGTGCACGGTGTCCCGGAGCCTCCCGGCGCTCCCGGCCGTCCCTGGGACCGAGGAGCTCTGCACGGCGGCGGTGCAGACGGTGACGGCGCCCGCCCGGCCCCGCGGGGGCGGGGGTCGGGGAGGAGAGCGACGGGGAGCTGGCTGCTAGGGCGGCTGAGGCCTACTGGGTCACCACGGCCCCTGGCCCGACCGCGCTCCCTGCCCGCCTTCCCGCAGCCGGAGGACCTGATGAACATGCAGCACTGCAATCTCCTGTGCCTGCCCGAGAACTACCAGATGAAATACTACTTCTACCACGGCCTTTCCTGGCCCCAGGTGGGCAGCTCGGAATTTCGGGAGGGGGCAGAAACCAGGCCAAGGAAGATCCACGTGGGAGGAGCAGCAGTGGGCTGTGCGGCAGGCAAGCCAGCTAGTGGACCTAGGGGTCGGGAGCTGTCACTAAAGCCACCCCTTGACCCGTTTCTGTCATGCGCACAGTGACAGGCCAGCACTGGGACCAGGGGTCTGCCACGGGCTCGTCCAGCTCTGACAGGAGGTTATTTTCTGACTTCTTTCCCTTCCTTGTCACCTAGCTCTCTTACATCGCAGAGGATGAGAACGGGAAGATTGTGGGGTACGTGCTGGCCAAAATGTGAGTCACCAAGGACGGAGACAGAAGCCTGGTGCCAGAGTTGGGAGTGGATGGCGGGAGGGTGAACGCCAACACCACGTGTGTCTGCTGGATGCTGCCCTGTCTCGCTGTTTCTTGTTTTAAGGGATTAATTTACTAATCTTCAGTTCACTTTCAAGTTTACGAAAAACTGGGTGGGAAGGATAGACTTCCCGGGTACTCCTTACCCTTTGCCCCCTAGTTTTCTCGATCGTTAACATCTTGCAGTACGTTTGTGACCGTGGATGAACCGGTATTGCCACATGACGGAGATCTGCTTTGTGTTGTACTTTCTGTGGATTGGGGCGTGTGTCTAAGAACATGTATCTGCTGTTCCACACGCAGGAGCTTCAGTGTCCTAAAAACCTTCTGGGTTACATCACTTCTCCTCTCCCCCCCCCCCCGCCACGGGAACCACAGACATAGTCACTTACCATGTCTGTAGTTTCTCTTCTCCAGAATGTCGTAGAATGGGAATCCTACAATATGGGGCCCTTTCACGTTGGCTCCTTTCGCTTAAGTCATGTGCATCAAAAGTTCTTCCATGTCTTTTCATGGCTTCGTAGGTCAGTTCTTTATGGCACGATCAGCATTCCCATTGTACCCCCACAGACGCTGCATTTGTCTTTGGGCCACTGTGTGGGCTTGTGAGTGTCCCAGCTCTCCTCACTCCAGGGTCCAGGGAGCGGGGGACTTCGGAGCCACCAGAGGACTTTGTGCTCCTGCTTGGCACACGCCCCAGGGATGTGGGGTGGTGACTGCATCTGCACCAGGCTCCTTTCTAGCCTCTCCTTTCTTCTTGTTCTAGGGAAGAGGACCCGGATGACGTGCCCCATGGACATATCACCTCTCTGGTATATGGGGCCTGCCCAGCTCCTGGCAGGGGTGGAGGTGGGCTTAGTTGAGGCAGCCCTCAAGGTCCCACTCTTCTCCCACCAGGCTGTGAAGCGTTCCCACCGGCGCCTTGGCCTGGCTCAGAAGCTGATGGACCAGGCCTCCCGAGCCATGATCGAGAACTTCAATGCCAAATACGTCTCCCTGCATGTCAGGAAGAGGTGGAAGCCAGGCTGAGGGAGAAAGGGAGGGGTGGAGGGAGGAGGTACTGTCTTCATGTGGGTCCTGGGGTTCCTTGACTCTTGGAGAAGATCTGGGACTAGTGGGGAGGGGGGCACGGGGAGGGGGGCCAGGCCTGGACGTGCCGTCCCTGTCTGACCCAGTCTGTGCAGCTCAGCAGCGCCTTGTTCCCCTGCAGTAACCGGGCCGCCCTGCACCTCTATTCCAACACCCTCAACTTTCAGTAAGTAGATCGAGATTTTTCTAATGGAATGGGGTGGTCCCAAGTCTGGCACATCCAGGCATCTGAGACAGGCTGAGCTGCCTTCCAGGTGGAAGGATGTGGGTGACTGGGGGAGAGACCTGGGCTTAGCTGAGATGGCGAGCAGGCCATGGACTTCCAGACATTATCAGAATGTCTCCTTCAGGCTCTGTGGGGACGACACCTGCCTGCTGCAGTCTGCTCAAAGCACGTTGTGATGCAGGAGTGTTTGGTGTGGCTGGCTGTGTCGCTCCATGCCGGCTAGGGCTAGGTAGAGGGCCATGTGGTGAAGCGCAGTCTTCTCAGTAGAGGTTCGGGAGTAGAGGTGAGGGCCTGGGAAGTGAGCAGAAGCAGGGCTCAAGGTGCCCTGGCACGTAGAAGCATCTAAGAGCAACCAGGAGAAAGGAGAGTGTGGTGCTGTGGAAACCTAAGCACATCGAGGCAGGTAGAGCCATCGGCAAGAGCAGTGGAGGGATGCAGAGCCCTGGGGTGTCCTGGTGGATGAGGGCAAGCCCACTTGGGGACATGGGGGTCTCTGTGTGCCTGGCGCAGAGCAGAGAAAACCTGGCAGGGAACTGATGTGGCGGAAGCTGCTCGAAGGGGAGGCTGGGGGTGGAGGGCCCCCAGAGACAGCTTCAGCTTCAGTTTGCTGGGGGTGAAGACGGACCGCCAGGAAAGGCATTCAGGGAGGGGTCCTGATCTGGATATAGAGTCTCTGGTGGCCAACAGTTCTGGGGTCTCGGGGCTGGCCAGCCCTCCTAGGCCATCAAGTCCAACACCCTTCCAGTGGCAGGGTACCCGAGTGTGTGCATCCACCCTCCAGTGCAGGCTTGGCCCCTAAGGTCCTCAGAGCAGGGGTCACAGGGCCTGGCAGTGAGTGTCAGGAACCAGAGGTTCCAGCTCCCGTCCTCCTCCGTTCCAGTGGCTAGGCCCAGGAGTCAGGCTTGGTTGCTCAGTGAGTGACAGGGAACAGGGCATGGTGGGAAGGGAAAGCTAATTCAGGGCTTGGGCTCACAACAAACCACAGAAACAGATGTGTGGGAGCCAGCTTAGGGACACAGGACAGTGGGAACCCCCAGAGGGTGCAAGGTGCTGGGTGCTACTTGCTGCCTACTGCTGGCGAGCACAAAGGGCAGGCTGCGTCGGAATGGGCTTGCTGTCTCCGTCAGGGGAAGACAGACGTGCCGCCGCACTAGCGCAGGATGCCAGAAGACTGAGGAGACTTGACCCTCTGATTTGGGTCGTTCTTTTCTGCTCCTCCTGCCCCCAGGATCAGCGAAGTGGAGCCCAAGTACTACGCCGATGGGGAAGACGCATACGCGATGAAGCGGGACCTCACCCAGATGGCTGACGAGGTGAGTGTCCCTTGGGGTGCCTGAGGCTGTCAGAGGCCCTCAGAGGCTGTGCTGCCCAGTCGGGGCCCCTTCCCCTCACGTCCTCAGCTGCCAGGTAGGGAGCAGGCCATGGCCGGGCTGGAAAGGAGGTATCACCCCAACGTTCCCTTCTCTGCCAAAGCCTGTCCTGTCTGAGGCGTGATGGCAGAGGAGAGGGAGGAGGCTCTTGGAAGCACCGAGAACTTGGTCCCCTGGTCTCAGGGGTGACACTCGGCTGGGAGAGGAGAAAGTCAGGGTCCTGCCCCAGGCTCGTCAGGGGCCAGGGCCGTTCTGAGGGCTTGGTGGGCAGCCCGTGTGAGGGAGGCATGTGCACGCTCACTCGAGAGGAGATTGCGGGGCCCAAGAGGTCTCCTGCCCCAAGCCTGCCGCCCTTCATCCCTGGTGGGGGGGGGGGGTGGCAGAGGGACTGCGTGCTCAGGAGACTTAGGTCCCGTCTCCCCTTCCGTCCCTCCGGGCTCCTGGCGGCAGCTGCGACGGCATCTGGAGCTGAAGGACAAAGGCAGACACGTGGTGCTGGGCGCCATCGAGAACAAGGTGGAGGGCAGGGGCAGCTCGCTTCCGAGCTCTGGAGACACCTGTCGTGACGAGAGAGGCTTGGCTGCTGACGATAGCGGGGGCGACAGCAAGGATCTCAGCGAGGTCAGCGAGACCACAGAGAGCACCGACGTCAAGGACAGCTCAGAGGCCTCTGACTCTGCCTCCTAGAGCCTGCACTTGCTCCTCATCCCACCCTGGCCTGCCCATCCTGTGCTCGCCCCTCGAGGTTTCCCAATAAACTTCCCCCAGTGGCCTTGGGGAGTGTGTGTGTGCGAGTATGCACATGGGGGGCGGGCGGGGGGCCACCTCTCTCCAGCCACTCCATGTCCCTGTGGTTATGGACATCACAGCCTTTCAGCACCGCATGCCCTCCAGAGCCAAGTAGAGGGGATTTGGAGGTGGGGCTCCCATGTCTGATGGCTTTCGGCACCGCTGGGCCCGGGAGAGGGACACCCTGGAGTTCTGGAGGCTGGTCCCTGCCGGGAGGCAGATGCTCTGCCGCTGCCTTGCTGGGCTCCTGATGCCTAGAGTCCATCAGGCATGATGGACTTATCTGGTGGGCTTATCTGGTGCCGTCCTGTCTTGTCATGGCCCAAGCAGCCACCCAGTTGCTCAAGTCCTGGCAGCTGTCCTTGATTCCTCCCTCCCCTGCCATCCAGAAGATCGGGAAGTTTGGTGTGTTTGACTACCGTAATACCCATGGAATCTGCCCCCTAACCTAAGCCTTCATTTGGAAATAGTTGATAAACCTTATTTTTAGTACAGCATTAGGTTTACAGAACTGAGCCATTGGATAGTTCCCTGGAACCTCCCTCCCGCCTCCTTCACCATCCCCGAGTTACTCTGTATCAAATGTTATATTTTGTATCAAATGTTACATGAGCCAACATTGATATATTATTAACCATAGCCCAGGACTGATGGTTCCTTTTTCTGTTGCACATTCTGGTTTTGGACAAAGGCATAAAGTCATTTCCTTTTTTAAAAAAGATTTTATTTATTCATGAGAGACACAGAGAGAGAGAGAGGCAGAGACACAGGCAGAAGGAAGAGCAGGCTCCATGCGGGAGCCCGATGTGGGACTCGATCCCGGGTGTCCAGGATCATGTTCTGGGCCGAAGGCAGGCGGCTAAACCGCTGAGCCATCTGGGCTGCTTTTTTTTTTTTTTTTAAGATTTTAATGTCATTTTTAAAAAATTCTTTTGAAAGATTGATTTGGGAGAGCGTGAGCATGAGCAGAGGGAGAGGGAGAAGCAGACTCCCTGCTGAGCAGGGAGCCCCATGTGGGGCTGGGTCCAAGAATCCCAGGGTCTTGACCCGAGCCCAAGGTAGATGCTCTACCTACTGAGCCACTCAAGTGCCCTGCACAGGGTCATTTCATACAGAACATGAGCCCTGTTTTTTTTTCTTTTAATTGGACTGGTTGGCATAACAATGTTAGATCAATTTCAGGTGTAAACAGTGCTGCGCCACGTCTATAGGTGCTGCTAGGCTCAGCACAGGCGGAGCCCCCATCTGTCACCACGCGCTGCTGTTACGGTGTCCTTGTATTCCCGGTGCTGTGCCTTTTATTCCCCATACACTCATCCCATAACCGGAAGCCTGTATCTCCCCCCCTCTTAACCCAGTTTGCCCATCCCCCTTCCCCTCTGGCAACCAGTTTGTGCTCGGTATTTTATTTTTTATTTATTGACACAGAGGGAGCGGGCACACGCAGGGGGAGTGGCAGGCTCCGCGCCCAGGGCGGGTGCAAGCGGCGCTCGAGCCCAGGACCCTGGCATCACGACCTGAGCCCGAGGCAGACGCTTCGCCAGGTGCCCCGTGCTCTCCGTGGGCGGGCTTCTGTAAACCGTCCGTTTTCCGTGGCTTTACTCCAGCCCTGAGATTTGCTCCCGCGCCTTTGTCCCCGTCCCCGCCCGGGGCTGTACAGCGTCCCCCGCGGCGGTTAGGCTCGGGCAGGCTCTGCCTGGGCTGCCCGCCGCGGCGGGGCTCAGCGCCCCGGAGCTGCCCCTGTGCTCGCTGCGGCTGCTCGTGCAGACCGTGCGCGGCTCCCCGGCGAGACCCGCTAAGCCCCCCGCCCCCGGCGGCAGCTCGCAGCCCTCTCAGGCCGCCGCCCGCCACGTGACCGCCGCGCAGCCGGAGCCCAAAGCCGAGGGGGCGGGGCGCAAAGCTGCGCCTGCGCCAGCCCGCCCGCCCGCGGCCCCGCCTCGCCCCGCCCCTGCGTCTGACGTCAGGGCCGCCCGCGTCGGCCGCGCGGCCGCCTCCTTTCCCAGGCTCTGAGTGGCCGGGCGGCGGCGGGGCGGGCCTTCCCGCGCGGGGCGGGCATGCGCACTGCCTCGGCCGCGCCCCAGCGCGGGGCGGGGGCCCGCGGTCGCTCCCACGGCGCCCGGCCGCACCCTCCCCCTGCCGCGGCCGCCCCGGCCCGGCCCGCCCCTTGCCCTGCGTGCCCTGCGTCCCCCGCGGCCTGGGGCGGCCGGGCGGCTTCCCGCGGCCGGGTTTCCTGGGCGGAGGTGGGGGCCGCGGCGGGGGCGGGGCACGCAGGGGAAGCCGCAGGACGCCGGCCCCTGGGGCCCGGCGCTTCCCCCGCCTCTGCGGCCGCCGCCCGTGGGAGGAGCGACTCCGGGGCGGCGCGGCGGGCGGCGGGGAGGCGGGCCCGCCCCTCCCTCCTCGCCGCGGGGCTGGGGGGCTCCGGGGACGCCCCCGCAGGCGGAGCGCCCGTGCGCAGCTGGGTGCACGGCCGTGCCCCTGAAGCCCCATCCCTGGCGCCTCCTAGAGAGCTTGTAGGAATATAGGGGCCCCGCGGCGTCTCCCGTGGGACCTTCCCTGCCCGCTTAATGCTCCCCCCCTTCTCGCTCTGACGCCGACTTAACGTGGAGCTCGTGTCTCTCTGGCCCATCCTCCGCGCCGCACACCTGACCACGGCGGCCCCGAGGTCGCCCTCAGGACCCAGTGTTTACTCCACTCCTCAGCTCCTGGACCGAGGTCCCAGAGATCCCATCGGGTCCTCGCCCTCTGCAGGATAATGGGCTTTGGGATTCTTTGAACGGGAATGGAGGGGCGTGAGGATGGAGAAAGCGCTGGGCCCTCAAAGGCCAAACAAGCGTCCCTTTTTTAATTTTATTTATTTAGTCATGAGACGGGGATGGACCTGGAGGGTATTCTGCGGAGTGAAATAAGTCAATCGCAGAAGGACAAACAGTGTATGTTCTCATTCATTTGGGGAATATGAATAATATTGAAAGGGAGTATAAGGGAAGGGAGAAGAAATGGATAGGATATATCAGAAAGGGAGACAGAACATGAAGGCTTCTAACTCTGGGAAATGAACTGGGGGTGGTGGAAGGGGAGGAGGGCGGGGGGTGGGGGTGAATGGGTGACAAGCACTGAGGGGGGCGCTTGATGGGATGAGCACTGGGTGTTATGCTATATGTTGGCAAATCGAAGTCCAATAAAAAATAAATTTATAAAAAAATAAAAAAATATTTAGTCATGAGAGAGGAAAAGCGAGAGATAGGCAGAGGGAGAAGCAGGCTCCATGCTGGGAGCCCAATGTGGGACTCGATCCCAGGACTCCAGGATCACAACCTGGGCTGAAGGCAGGCGCTAAACCGCTGAGCCACCCGGGGATCCCCAAACAAGTGTCCTTAAAGCCAGGGCTTTTTATGTCAGTTTTATTTTTACTTTTAAAGATTTTATTTATTTGTTCATGAGAGACACAAAGGAGAGGCAGAGACACAGGCAGAGGGAGAAGCAGGCTCCCTGCGGGGAGCCCAATTAGGACTCGATCTCGGGACCCCAGGATCATGCCCTGGGCTGAAGGCAGATGCTCAACCGCTGAGCCACCCAAATGCCCCCCCCCTTTTTAAAAAATTTATTCATGAGACACACACACACACAGAGGCAGAGACACAGGCAGAGGGAGAGGCAGGCTCCATGCAGGGAGCCTGATGTAGGAATCGATCCTGGGACTCCAGGATCACGCCCAGGGCCGAAGGCAGGCACCAAACCGCTGAGCCACCCAGGGATCCCCCTCCTTCTTTTTTATAAGTCAGTTTTAAGGCAGCAGCCAGGGATCCCTGGGTGGCGCAGCGGTTTGGCGCCTGACTTTGGCCCGGGGCGAGATCCTGGAGACCCGGGATCGAATCCCACGTCCGGCTCCTGGGGTGTGGAGCCTGCTTCTCCCTCTGCCTGTGTCTCTGCCTCTCTCTCTCTCTCTCTCTGTGTGACTATCATAAATAAATAAAAATTAAAAAAAAGACCTCCATCTGGTTTTCTTTTAAAAAAAAATAAAGCAGCGGCCAAATGGGGCATCGCATGAGTATTTCTGGAGCCATAAAAGGATAGAAGAGAGCATTTGAAAGTAGGGGCTGAGGCGAGTTCAGCAGCAGTTTCCTGTGGGCTTGCCCTCGGTGCATGGCTCTGCTGGGTGGGCGAGGGACTAAAGGGGGCCGGTCAGGGCACAGTTGGAGGGTAGGGGCCAAGGCATGTTGGGGTTAGCTGATGAGGTATGGGGCGTGGGTTCCTGACCCAGGAACAGGTTTGGGGGCGGGAGTGCCTGGACATGCTTCGGGAAGGGGCAGCAGGCTCGCCTGCCTTGCTGGAGGACTCTCAACAGTGTAGTGCTGACGTCAGGAAGCCCAGGTCCTGGGCCCAGGTCCTGGGCCTGCTGGTGTCTTGCCAGCCCCCGCGGCCTTCCAACCCCAGGTGCCTTGGACGCGTGGTGTCTTAGAGAAGGGCTTTGGTCCTGGGTGGGAGTTAGGGTTGTGGGGCAGGGAGGTGGAGAGGTCTGTTTTCCCCTTCTGAGCAAGAGGATTGCTTGTAGCTTACAGACAGGAAGTGCCTGCACAGTCTCCCCCATTCTTCCTCCCCCTAAGCTGCGGGTCAAGGTCCCACGTGCCCACATTTGCACTGAGACTGACTTTGACATCCTTGCACACACGTGTCTACATGGAGTCCTTGCACTAGTGCTTACAGGCTTGCCTCACCCCCCGGGGCATGAGTCTGGAGTTCAATTGCCTTGCCCTGCGCCCCCCGCCCACCATCTGTACCCCAGGGATTCCCTCCCACCCAACTGAAGACCGTTGTCTGGTTTGCTTTGTCAACTGCCACCTGCATCCTGCCTTCCCAGTTTACTGGACCAGATCCGTTGCCCTTTGGCTTCAGGTTGGCAGAGAGGGGTGGAGGGCGACTCCAGCACCCCCGGATGAGGGAGGCCCCCAGATTGTCCCCCAGGCTTGCTTCGGCTTTGTGCTG